CAGGCTCATGGAGTAGTTTGCGTCTCGTCCTCGGCGACCTTGGTTCGGCAGACCACTAGAAGGTGAGAAGGAGAGGTGGGGGAGGGCGAGACAGTGAAGTCCACCTGGCCCAGGCCCCACAATGAGCATCAGGCCAAAAAATGAGGATCATGCCTCGATGGCAGTTCATTGTGATGGCAGGTCCCAGCCGCTCATTCTCCCGAAGGTTAATTCGTGAGTGTGTGTGTGTCTGAGCATCAGTCCCCTTCCCGAATGGGCCTCGTGGTAGGTGCTTTGGACCAACACGGAGGCCATATCGGATTCTGGCAGGCGTTATCGGATTTGCGCACCATAACAAATGCCAACATTTCTTAGGTACGGTGGCAGACCCGGTTGCTGGCAGACGTCGCGCACACTGGGACCTCTACCGCCCCCCCCCCCCCATTGTTGTTGTTAGTCAAAAACCTGGTCATTTTCTCTGTGAACCAGGGGGTGTAGAATAGGGCGCCAAGGTGCGGGCTCGACCGTGCCATCCACCTGCGCCATTCCCCGCCTCCTGTCTTCTTAACTTGACACCGGGTGCATCTTCGGAGGAGGAGAGAGTGTGGTAGATGCTGTGCGAGTCTGTTACCAGTATAGACTAATTCACGCAGAAGTCACCGCCCCTGCTCCACCTTGCTGTGGAGCTCACGGTGGACATCGTCAGAAACGAGTTTCGAATTGTCGAGCATAAGCGTATGCATGACCTGCGCAGTCGCGGATTGATTGAACCCACTTAGTTCATTTTATCCAATTGGGAAAAACTTGATAGCCTCGGCGCGATTCGAACCCACAACAGCACTGCTGAGGCTTGAGTACAGCCCCTACTCTAACCGCCTGAGCCGAGTTAGCCATTTCGCTGCCGCTATCTTCAGTCGTACTTACTTTGCCCTGGAAGAGATGCCATTCAGGTCCCCTTTTCTATGATTAACTTAATGCCCTAGTTAACTTCTACGTCCCCGAGGCAGTGATGACATTCTTTGCCTGTCAAGGACCATATGTCGCCGCCGCCGCCGCCACCGCCGCCGCCATCATGTGACGCAAGCAACGCTCGCGTCCAATTTGGAGTTGCGAGACCGCCTACGAGCACTTGCATAGGCTAGCAAGAAGACTTGCGTTTTTGCGTATCTTGCTGGGTGGCCACGTGCCTGTATGCACTCCAGTTGAACGCTAGCCTCCGCTTTGACGGAAAAGATGTTTGTCCGACCGTCATTGTGGCCCACGCCCTTCCAGGGGCTCAGGTGAAACACGACGTTGCGTGCTTCGTTTGGGTTATGCGTGCATGCGCCTCACCCTCCGGCCGAAGACCACCACCTACTAATAATAGAAGCCCCTTTCGTCCTGCTTGGCGTCTGCCAAATCGACCGGGCAGGGGGGGGGGACCCGTTGAGTAACATGTGCTCGTGCTGAAGTTTCCAGCCGCGTGTTTTTTAGCTGATCCAATCAGATTGCGTTCTTTGTGCGGGTTAGAATACGCGACGGGACGGGCCTGCAGCCGCCTTCCCCCTTCTGAAATTCGTGCTTACACGCCCCTTTCTTACGTTCGCTGTACAGACGTCCGAATTCGGTTATCGACCTCAGTAATGATCATTTCCACCGTATGTACATCACATGCAGGTCCTTCCAGTACACCAGTAATAAGTAAAGTAGGTGGGCTAACTCATGAAATGTCAACTGAAATTCCGAAATGCGTTTTCGTTTCAAAAAGATGGCTAGATCGCAGTTGGTAGCCCGGAATGGGGAGCGGACGGCGACCTTAACCCTAATCCCAACCTTAACCCTAACCCTAACCTCAACCGTTACCGTTAACCCTAACTGCAATCCTAACCCTAACCCAAGCCGAAATCGTAAACGTAACCCTAGCCCTTAGACGTAACCGTAACTGAGAAGCCTAATCGTAATACTGAAACATTTTCGTACGCTCAAACCCTAACCATAACCCGAAAACCTAAACCTAAATGCATAACCCTAACCGGAAAATCGGAAACCATTAACCGGTACCCCACTCCTAACCTGAAGCTTAAAACGGAAGCCAAATGTGTCAGATGTGATTATGGAGCCCCGCAAAATAACCCCAGTAAACAAACCCCCCAGCCACCTGTAATGCGGGTCTGGGCTACCAACTGCGATCCAGCCGGAAAGATTAATTAACTATGTTTGTAAAACTAATCAGTTTGTAGTATAATTCTATAACAAGTCCGTTACCTCAAGATGTCGATTGTCGAACGAACTTCTTTTTGGCCGCATGCAAGAACTATACTCTGCAAAAAAATGACTACTTAAGTATCATGGAATTTTCTCATTGATTTTCGATGCCCTTGAAAATCCAATTATATTTCATGGAAAACATACATAAAAATACCCATTATTTCGCTCATTCGGTAGAAAATTGCTCTTTCCATTTTATACACGAAGAAAGATTATAATTCAGTTTCAAAAATGTTTTTAATAGGGAGATTTTTTAGGACCGCGAAATGGCCGTTCATAGAGCGTCATGTATCTGCATTTACCAATGTGGCTTGTAAAATTAACAGTATGGCCCAAATCTACTGCTATATTTTTTGAACCCCATATTATCTCCTCTCAATACCGTAGAGAAATGTCTGGTTTTTCGTACGCGGAAAATACCTGGCTTGTGGTTTGGAAACCTGAATGCAAGTGTGACGGCGGAGCGGGTTCAAAATTATTCGGGAATTTCAAAAGTTTTTAAAAGCCGAATAATACCCCTCCTTTGAGTATAAAATTTAAAAAAAACGTAATTTTCTACCGACTGAGCGGAAGAATGAATATTTTTACGCATGTTTTCCATGAAATATAATTAGACTTTTAGAAGCATCGAAAATCGACGAGAAAGGTGCATGCTACTTAAGTAGTCATTTTCGTAGAGTGTAATTTTTGCATGCAGCCGGAAGGGAGTTCTTTCGAAAGTCGGCATCCTGAAGTAACTGAATAATTATAGAATTATACTGCAGATTGATTAATTTTACAAACTTAATCAATTAATCTTTTCGAAACTAAAACGCATTTCGGAATTTCAGTTGACATTTCATGAGTTAGCCCATCTACTGTAATAATAAATAATTTTACTAAAGGCCCTTCTGGATCCCGTCATATCAGGTAAAAATCAATTTTCATATGAATCTTAGAAGTGGTAGACAGAATCTGTACAATATGCAATACATAATTATTGAATAAGTAGTCTCTTAAGGAAAATACCGAGCGAGAAGTGAAAAGAACTTCATTATAGAATAAAGAAATTGATTGAATTAACTTTAAAAGAGAAAAAAACTGTCGCTAATGAAAGGATTAAGATTCGGGCAGGACCGACCTCCATGTCGTAGTGAATATCGGATTCCAATCAGACATCGTCAGGGCAGAAAAAAATACCATCGATGATGGTATGAGTATATGAGTCAGACATGACTGGTCTGCTTGTGGTATTGTATAAGGGATTCAAAACGGACATCGTCAGGGCAGCATTCATACACTGGACGACACTATTCGCATCGAAGTGGCTATACGAGAGGAACCCAGACGCGGTCGGTGATAGTTCGGTTCGAGTCCAGCCGAGGAGGGGACAAGGGGGACACGACCCTGAGATATCTTTGCTGACCGACCAAACTATTAATAAATGGCGACAGACCGCCCGGGGTCGGAATGAAATGACTTCAAGAACCGCAAAAATCATCTCTGCGGGGGAGGAGTAGTAAAGGCGGATTTAGTAGCCAATTAAGAACAGGAGGTTGGTAGACGTTTTGCCACCTACCCAAAAGTTATGCACTGCGCACTGCGTTCAATTTACTTGTTTACTTGATAAAGAGCATACGCTGTAAAGCCACAAAAAACGTGGTTGCCTTATATAATAGCGTTGTGGGGTCTGACTTTTACTGCTATGGTACGACATTCAATCATAGTGACGTACAAAGATTACGCACTGTGGAAATGGAATTGCCACTTGTGCGGGTGAGGATAGCCTGCAAGACGGAAATATAGTCCTTTCTCCCCTCCTGAAATTCATGCTTGCACGGATTTTACTTACTTTTGTCGGACAGACGTCTCCATTTGTTTATCAACGTTTGGCCGAAAAGTATGCGCTGTGCAATATGTCCAACTTGCGTGCTTGGTGGCGGCGTACGCCATAACGCTTAATACGACAGCATTGTGGGATCTACTTCCCAATATACAAATATAATGTTAGGGGGCGCTCACCGATCGATCATACGGAACTCACTCGTTCCGTTGTGCCTTAAGGGCTCTCTCTCGAGCCCAACCAGCAGCCGCAGAGCGGCGCATGATATATAGGCAGAATGATATTACCGACAAAAGCCAAGGGAGACTGGAAAGGCCATTTCTGGCTTATTAGTCGTCGTCAGCCAGCCATACCCAAGCCCGAAGTGTGGAACACCCGAGCCTCGAACTCGCGACCTGTTGGTTTAGAAGTCAACGCCTCTACTCACCGGGCCACGAGCCCGAAGGTTTAGGGTCCAAATTTACGCAACTGTTTGGTCTTATAGTGGGGTTATTTTTAGGGCTGGGACGCGGAAATATTTCGACATTTCTGGAATTATGCGCAGCTCCACCTTTATTTCTAGGACGGGGCGCTCCTATTTCCATGCCCTGTTTACACAACACCATAAGTCAGCCCCACGAGCACTACTTCCACCACCACTGACACTGCTACCGTTGCTAGTAATACAATCGGTGCTGCCGCTACTACTAAGCCGCCATCGCTATTATTACAGCGACTACAAACACTAGTAGTTTAAAATCAGTTATTACCGTTTCAACCTGTGACACTCATAGTGGCATTGCTACTGTTACCACCAGTATTATGTAACGCAACTGCAAACCAAGTAGATGGCAAAACTGAATCGTTAATGAGCGGGCAAAGGAAATGCAGCGTAGTAAAATTGTTGGCAAAAATGACAGATTGCTTCAGGGGAGGGGGGGCGGTGGTGGTGGTGGCGGCGGGTTGGGAATGATCAAGCGTAATTAACATCCACGCACGTCACCATGCCAGTTAAGGAACGCACGCGCTGGCGGAGACTGCACTTGCCAGTTTTTTTGAGTCTGAACTGAAACCAATATTTTTGTCCTTTCTTCTTCTTCTGGTGGTGTTGGTGATGAGGATGGTGGTGAGGATGATGGTGATGGGGGGACTCTAGCAGAACAAAGGGCACAGTCGAGGAAGATGAAAATAAGAACAAAGGGATAAAAATGGGCGGGGAGGGGAAGGAAGAAACAGAATAACCCCACTATTATTTCAAACATCGAAGCACTGGTATTTGCGAAGCTCAGAAGGAAATGAATGATGTCAAGGAGAGTAGTGTACAAGCTCAGACTTCAATTCAGAAAGACAGTTCGTATTTCGATATCGGCTTGGCGTTTACGAGGGCTTTCGAAAGCCATGCGACCTACATATGGGTTTTGTTGGACGACAAAAGTCAGTTGGTCAGAAACAGTCTAGTAGGACACCAACACAGCAACAGTCGAAGTCCCTGGAGTAGGTTTGTAAGGCATGGATGCCGCCAGGGAAGCAGTCGCTGACTATGCACAAGTATTCTAAAAAACGTCCGTTTTTGACACCACTGCAGCAAAGAGTAACAAGCCATAAACAAATGTGCCGATTCATAAAAAGCACTACACGAGTTCAGTTCAGTTAGGCCAAGTCACTCTTGCAACGGGTTTCCTAAATGGTCAAAATAAGTGCCATCAGGGGTAGAGAAGCATCCACTGACAACTAGCTTCCCACCTAATGCGTTTTCTCGAGTTCTTAAACGTAAAGGGGTCCAAAAGGTTGATGTGTATGCGGGTGAGCACTCTGCCGATTCAAAGGCCGATGGGAAATCGGACACAGTACAGCCCGCAACCCGCAAGTGCGCTCCTGCATTTAAAAACGAATCACATTATAGGAAGCAGGTGGACTTAGTAAGCAAAAACGGACAGCTAGTGGTGCAAAAATGAACTTTCTAAAGCAGGCAATGTCCTGGGTGGGGATAATCCACTGCACTGCCATGCACATCAAAGCAAAATAGGCGGACGGCAGTACTTTCACAGATGTGTAAGTAAAGCGCGAAGCGTCCACAGCAGACACACAAAAGAAGCTGAACAAGCCCTACGCTGACAAGTCCTAAGGACTGCGATAGCGTGTTGACAACGCGTTAACCTCAAGCAGAAGGGCTGGTAGGCATCGTTCCACCCCTGTGCAACTTACCAGTATGCAAGTCTGCAAGGGAGTCCAGTAAAATTTCAGATAAGGGAAGGAAATACTGACCTACATCTAAGGAATAGGTAATAACCGGATAGGAAATAGAGAATCGACAAAATAAACGTACGTGATATGCCTAAGCCATGCTCCTTCTTGCCTTTCTGGTGCTTTCGAGGTTTGTTTTCACCAGAGTCCTGGTGGTACGCCTCTGAGTCGACAAGCACGCCACTGGGAGGCTCATTGTGGTCTGCAAAACCGAAATATTTGAAGGATTACCTTGCGATAGACTACACGACCCCTCTTGCAACCCAACTGATGATAAAAGATTCCGTAAAACTATCATTATCACAATTCTCATCGGACTTATTCCCGTAACCAGAAACAGAGATTATTTCCACAAAAACCAAAAAGGACATCTTAGACCTCAGTACCTAAGGATTTATTTAACTTCATGCCTCAAATGGGCTTGAGGCCAGCTCAATAATTATGTGAGCATGAAATCTTATCAAACATAATTCTGGTTCTACGTTGTTAGGGTAACGCTGCATGTAGTTAGGCCTGCAGTTTTGCTGGCCTATTTTGCTGTGATCGATACAGCCATATTCAGAGAATTTTCTCTTTTGGCTATGAAATTTTTCAGAAGCTAAACGTATATTAGGCTTTTTTAACCTATTACTTTTAAAGACCAACCCTACAAATCTTCATTTCTTGGCGACTAACGTTCAGATTCGAATACGTCCCAATTCCTTGCCTGAACAGCAAATTCTTAATAGACTTAAGAAATAATCCGATGAAAAAAGTACTCAATAGGAAGTAAAAAATGTAATTGCACTAACACGCCTCAAGCCATAAGGGACCGTGGGAGATGGAAATACACTGTCAGCTTACCCATTTAACGATTCGAGAAAATGAAGAAAATAAAAACTGGAGACTGGTGTGGAATAAGTTTTGCGAGCACATTTAAGAAAAAGCTGAAGACAACAACGACATTGGTAGCTAACTGGCACTCAAGTCAACAAGACTTTTGATGGAAAGAAAGCCCTAATAGCGATACTAAGGTAAATGAAAAACCTGCAAAGAACTCAAAATCGGACAGGATCTCACTGCAAGTGTATTGCTACCTTATCAACAAGCCCAACGACCCGTAAAATGTTGGGCTGATAAATCATCCAGATCAACTGTATCTGTTATAATCTAAAGTAATCGGAGATCCTTCAAAGTCCCAAATTATTTTCAATTCAAAGGCCCATTAAAAATTCAGCAAAAATATCATTATTATTCGTGAATATTTTTGAGGAAAACTTTGATTTCTGCTTATCAACCCCTTCCTCGTCTATGCAAAAGTTCAGTCCAATCCGTCCGGTATATAAGCTCACTTTGGAAGCGAAAAACTTGAGAATATTCATCAAAAACAGACCTCTTTAATGTTTTCATCTAAACATACTAGCAAATGACGGCATAAACAAGGGCAGTTGGCACACGGTATGCGGTAGATGACGTTACTTAGTTGTTCTTTGGGCACCGGGTCCTTTACTCGGCACCTGCAACAGTGATGACGCACTTAAGAAAGAATTGGCCTACTTACATCGGTTGTTCCGCTCCAACGGATATCCTGCCAGTTTTGTAAAGAACTGTCTCAGACGCCAGAGACAACTACCAAACCCCGAGTCTCATGAAGATAGAGCGTCACAGAAATTCTATTCACTGCCGTACATTCAGGGAATCTCTGAAGCACTCTCCCGGCAACTAAAACGCTTTGGCATATCCATTGCCCATAAGCCCGCATCTTCCCTACGCGAGGCATTATGCCGAGTAAAGGACCCGGTGCCCAAAGAACAACTAAGTAACGTCATCTACCGCATACCGTGTGCCAACTGCCCTTGTGTTTATATTGGCCATACAGGCCGATGTCTTGGGACTCGCATTAACGAACACAAGTTAGCCCTCCGTCGACGTGACCCTCTGTCCCTCGTGTTTGCACACGCCATTGAGCATGACCACCGCTTCAATTGGGACGGCACTGAAGTGATCGCAAAGGCTAACACCAGACAGGCGCGAGAATTCCTCGAAGCTTGGCACTCTGGCACGACCAGCATCAACCGCCACGTCGATCTTGACGCTCATTATGAGGGCCTACGTACACGCTCACTGTCTTGTTCCCACACCTCAACATTTTCTAACCCCCACTCGGCCACATAGACGTATGCTCTTTCGCCATTCCGCTCCCCCCTTGCGACACGGTGAACAACAACCGAAACCCCCCTAACACCTCCAACGCCGGCGCATTGGCCCCTGACCTCATCTCGCATCAGTGACTAGCCGTCCGCATCAGTGGCCAGCCTCCCGCATTCCCGCTGATTCGCAATCCCCATCCCCCCGCGTTTTCACCGCCTCCAACACTGGGAGCCTTAACGGTTCCTCCCTCCCTCCCCCTGCCCCACGGCCTACCATAACTAGGTGCCCACCCCTCTCACACATCTGCTGTCTGTTTGTCGTTGTCTGTCCTGTCGCGCCAGCGGACCTAGTCTGCCGACTTCACTTTCCCTCTGTTCATTTCGTCTGACGACGGGTCGGTGTCACCGACTGGAAAATTTACGAGTACAACTCAATTTTCCGAAGAGCCTTCACTTTCTCATATATATATATATATATATATATAATTTGGCCATACATGGGCGAAGTCCAGTATCCTACCCTTTGAGGGTTTAGCGGGAGGTTCGCAGCTTACAAATGTATGTGTAAATATGAGGTGACAGTGCTAGGGGATAAATTCTCTTGACATTGTTCTCCCAGTCATTGCGAACAGCATTTAAGAATGAAATCGGGGTGGTTTCGTGGGTTGCTGCGTTAACGGCGTGCATTTCGACCCGGGGAATTGATTTTTGGAGGTGGTTTTATTCCATTCTAGCCAGATATTCTACACGACTGATTGCACCGATTCTGAATCATTTATGAAAGCGCAAGCTTGTTCTAAAAACAGCTGATGCGCGTCCTTCCTTAGTCCACCGGGTTTTAGGAAGCACTTTTGTACAAATGTAGGATTTCTCGCATGTCCATTCGGGCAAGTACGGTTGGATTTATGTGCACCAAACAATGACCTTGCTGTTTTCGCATTGATTTTCCGTGTAAATTTAACTTTAAGTGTTAAGCAACAATGGAAAGCAGTTGGTAAGCTATCAAGGAATAAATTTGCACCTTAAAATTCTACTATCTATACTTCTTTCAACCAGTGAATGTCAGCGAACCAGGTCCACGCTACCCACTTAGTGTTTTTTCTTCATTCGCATATTTTGCCGTAGAGGGGTGGGAAAATGTTCAATCAAAACGCGAAGCTCTATCATCGGTAAATTAACTTTTGAGTATACCATTGGCCACTCAGTATTCATCTCCGCTTGGCGGGCTATTTCAAATAGGCACGAGTTTCCGCGCGAACAGTGACCTTGCCAGGAGGGTGTCCACCAATGGGCAGTCGCTTTTGCGTGCGCTAGCGAGCGGGCGCGTGCGCACGCATGAGGTGGTAATTTAATTTGGTCCCTGGATGACGGTACGTTTGCGTACTATCCTCAAATTTACTCTTCTTCTGATGCCTTAAGGTAATCAACTCCTGCCCTTCCAACGGCTAGTCGGTCGGGAAGCGTTGCGTCTGTTGCATGCCTTTGGAATTATCGTCTGGCCTTCACCTCTGTCGTTATTTGACGCTGAATCAAGCCAGCCCGACTGGCCGAACTGTTCATCTCCATTACTACGGTCAATGTCGTTGTTGCTGCTGTTGTATTTGCTGCTGCTGCTGCTGCTGGCGCTGCTGTTGGACAGACAACCACACCCGTAATTGGTCTGCAGATGCGCGAGGGACAGGACTAACAGTGAGGTTGTCTGGGGCGGCGCAGGAACGTGATTGGTGCTTCAAAGCTATTCGACGTCACTTTTGTCTACGTGCAGCTGCGTTGCAGTCAGGATCGGACTATTTTGGGAGACCCCTGGATGCGTAAAATGCTTCTGCTGCTGGGTTAGTTTGCCTATACCAAAGCTGGGGTTAAACGTGCCGACTTCTCTTCGGGGAGAGTGGCGGATCGGACGGCGCGTAGACGGAGAACGAGAGAGAGAGAGAGAGGTGGTAACGTGGCCGAAAGGAGAACTGGGCGGCATACGACTGACGGTAACGCGCCTACGTCGCCGCACAACTTTCCACCTTCTGCCGAAACTGCCTGCGCGGACCAATGTTTGCGTGAACGTATCGCCGGCTCAGACACCCCTTCGTTTGGGGGTTGTGCTTATTGTAGGGCTGTTTTATTCGTGTCTCTCTGCGTTCTGAGAAATATACAGGGCTCACTGTATCGGCGAAGTTCAGTAGTTGACGTTTCGGAGAGCTTGGCTGGCCTCCCATTATCAGTGTCTGGCGAAATTCGGACCAACTGGGGAAATCACTTCCAGAGATTGGTTTCTTGTGAAACCCTCTGACTCCGCCAGGGCCAGGTTTTACGGTCTGCCGAAAGTGCACACAAGGCAAACATACCACTAAGGCTCATTTTCTCCCTACGTGGCACTCGCACATACGATTTTGCAAAGTGGATGCTTGCCCGAACTCGCGACCTGTTAGTTAGAAATCCAACGCTTCTAACCACTGGGGCACTGTCCCCCCTACCATTGTATATTCCCGATCGAAGCCGACAGGACAACGGACCCGTAGCCCAGTGGTTAGAGGCGTTGAACTTCTAACAAACAGGTCGCGAGTTGGAGCCTCAGCTGTTCCACTCTTCGGGGTTGGGCATGACTGGCTGACGACGGCTAATAAGCCAGAAATGGCCATTCCAATCTCCCTTGTTTTTGTCGGTTTTTGACATCCTGCCTATGTAATATATATTTTACATATAAAGGCGTCGGAATACATTGCGTAGGGCGGTGGATCTTTTGATCTCGTCCACTTTATTATAACGTGAATTTTGGTCTGCGGACTGTCTCCGTCCCATGGGACCTGGACCCTGGAATAGGAACTACCCTCGCTTTAGTAATTGCAGGCTCTCTAATGTGGCCGCTGTTGGTGGACATCGGAAAACCCACAGGCAAGTCGAGACTTTGGTCGGGCGAATAACCTGCTGCCCGTGCGTCTGTTGCCCATAAAACAGTCACAGTCCACAGTGCTATTACAACTTGTTGAATGTAACCTGTCGCCCATTTAAGCTTCGGCCACAATCGTCTGGAGGGGTGGGAGTGGTGTTGGGAAGGGGAAGGCAGGTGGATGGTAACGCCCACTTTCGACTGCAGGAGCGGCATGTAACCCTTTTTTTACTATGCAATTTCACGCAACTGTTGTTAGCCCAACCGAATTTTATGGGCAACTGGAGGGCCATGTCCTGGCTGGACGTTTGGCGACCAACACAGTCCCCAAATCAATTACTGCCTATCCAACAACAACAGCAAAAGAGAGACCTTAATGGTGAAGGTGAACTGTTGTTAAATGCTGTCCGACGTTTGGGCTACTTCAAAAACCGCCAACAGAAGGAAGGAGGCTGGCTTGTCGAGGTACGATGGACAAGCTATACTGAGGTAAGGGAGTGTACACACTGATCAGCAGGCAGTAACAGTTGAAGTGTATGCGCCTGAGTTTCGTCCGGCTACGTCCAATCGGTGAACAGACAGATATCGATTGGTGCCATGGTGTGCGCGTTTCGAAGACGGCCACATGCATGCGAGCAATGACTGGCGGGCGTATAAGGTGAATCGAAGACGGCATAGGTGAGAGGTCGTTTCGACAACCGCGAGATCGGGCAACTACAATAACTCTGTGTAGACAGAAATCGGCGTGTATACTACCTCGCCTTGGTAAAGCTTGTCCGTCTAATTGCCTGCCCTGTTTTCCGATTTAGGGACTTTCAAGTTGTCGGTTGTGCAATC